AGAAGGCAAAGGAGAAGGCGGAGGAGAAGGACAACAAGCTGATCTCAATATGACCCAGGAGGACAATATTTGAGTTTGTTTTTCAGGCAGGGGCGATGTACGACATCTGCTTCTCAGAATTTTTCGCCCAGTGCTTTCCCAAACCAGAATTAGCACCGAGCATGAAATCCACCTGGTCGGCTGAATACCACTGGTCATCCAAAGCGACACCACTCGCAGAGCAGCGGCATGCATCAGCAGGATTTGCACAAAACATGTTGTCCATTTGCCATGCGTTCATAGTAGATCCGTCGAACGGGCCATAGACCTCCTCGACCTCGGCTGCTCGCCAACGATATAGCCAGTATACATCAGGAGGCCGCTTCTGCCCTGATGCGGCGCTGTCACCTTTCTTTGCCTGCTGCTTCGCCGGCTTCAGTTCAGAGGATGTGGTGAGAACAGATGGCTCGCTAATCAAAAGTACCACTGCTTCCAGGAGGCCACCTTCCAATCCAACGTCAAGGTCTGGCTGATCGATTTTCTGCTTTATTAGCTGATCGAGACGCGAACGGGCCGAGAGCAAAAGAGTCTGGGATCGCTTCGAAACACGGAACTGGATCCAGTCAGCTACCTTAAGATTTGGGCCTTCCCCCTCCAGGCAGCCACCAAATAGCAGAAGCGCCAAGGGATTAACGGGTGTAACCTCGCGGGCGAACAGCCGCGACGTCTGGACAAGCTCGCTGTACACAAGATACTGCGAAGCAAAGCCTTTTGCTTTCGAGTTCACCGAGGAAGGGTGGATTACCACTGGTGCAGGCGCCTCTGATCTTGACTGGTGTACAAACAACTTGATGCTCTCTGCGGCCGGGTCATCACATGACTTTCTTTTTTTGTTCGATGCTTGCGGCGCTTCTACTTTCCGCACGGATATTACGCGAGGGAACAGAGCCGCGCAAATAAGAGCTGCAATCAAAGGAGCAGGCGCACTCCGCGAATCACTCTGACAACCCAACGCAATACGAACTCCATCGCAGCCAGAACGGGAACCAAGTGTTTGCACGGCATGCGCTGTGAGGCCTGCCTTGACAAAGCCTGCAGTGGACAGGATAGCCAGCAGCTGCTGCTTGAGCTCCGCAATGTTCTGCATCGTGCGAAAACCCAAGAAATGCTCCTGACAAAAACCGTACTTGTTCTTGCTGGCGTCCCACTCCATGTACGCCTGCAGCACGGCCAAGTGGTCTGACTCCATGCCTGGGGAGCTGAGCTTCGCAGCGAAACGACGCTGCGCCTCCTGCGCCCTCTCCCGCATATCCTGTGGAGCGCAGAATGGCCAGCGCGACGAGAGTGCGGCGGCCAAGGTGAGAGTCTTGTCAATGGCATCAGGGCCGAAGACGGAACCGAGCAAGATTCGCCGGCCCGACGGGCCAGAGGCGTGCAGGATCGTCCACGCAGGTACGTGAGTCAGGCACGTGAGTCAGGCAAGGTGGTCTGCGAGCGAAACTCCTGGGGAAAGCGCCCCACGAGGTTGGCCAAGAGCGCCCCAGGGCGGGTACATGAGTGCCAGGCCTCAAGATGGACCCATGGTGGACCCCAAGATGGCCCCGGAATGCCAACAAAACGACCCCAAGATGGCATCAAGATGGCCGCAAGATGGCCCAGAATAGCACAAGCTATCCGAATGGACTTCAGAGACGGCCCACGATGACTCAAGAACATCCCCTCGGAGGCCCCCGAGATGGCCCACATCAAAGAAATAGTGTTGTTTTACGTGTGTTTGGCCTTCTCGCTCTCATTCGAACCAACTGACTGCTCGGGCGCAAAGGTGGACCCAAGAGGGCCCAAGAGAGTCCTAAGAGGGCCCCAAGCCTCCACAAGAGGGCCCCAAGAGGGCTCCAGGAGAACCACAAGAGGGCCCAAGAGAGGCCCAAGAGCGAGTGTTAATCGGTGACAGGCTCAAAACACGAAACGGCTCCATGATTATCCCAGCAGGCTCCACGATAGCGCCAAAATGGCCTCAAATGGTCCAAGACAGCCCACCGGACTGCGACGATGGCTCAAGATTGCCGAAGATGCGACCCCTCAAGACGGCCCAAATCAAAAAAGGTGGTGATGATGATTACCGGTTCTCGCCCTTGTGAGCTCCAATGGTCTTCTCAGCACCCCCAAAGTGGACCGGGCCCCAAGAGACCTCTGAGAGAGCTCTAAGCGGGCCCCAAGATCCCACAAAAGGGCCCCAGGAGTCCACAAACGCCCCAGGAGAGCCCAAGAGCGACCCCAGAGCGCGGATCAGAAGAAGAAAGATGTCCGCAAGATGGCCCCGAGGTATTTCAAGACAGCCCAATGTGTATTGCAAATATGGCTCGTGATGCCCGAGGAACGCACAAAAGCCGAGCGCTCACCGTGTTCCAACGGATCGGCCCTACGAGGACAGCAAGAACGGACCGGGCCCGAATGAAGAGTCGGAATGGTGGGAGCGGGAGCTGAAGAGATGGGAGCCGGAGTCCGATGGGATCCGGAAAGACGTGTCCGTAGCTGAAGGACGTACTTACCAACATAAGACAGAGAAATGTCACAACCAAGAAATGGTGAAACGAATCACGCCCGTGTTGTAACACCAGCGTACCAGGCTTGGATTCCGAACCAAAAACGGACTTAGGCCTGAACCGAGCCCCATGCGCAGGAGTCGAAGCCGGAGTGGGAGCTGGACTCGAAGAAGGGTTCGTAAACAGATGAAACCAATGCCGTGGGGGCAGGAGCTGGAGTCGAAGGGACGAGAAGATGGGAGCCGGAGTCGGAAGATAGGAGCCAGAATCGGAAATGAATTTGGGTGCTGGAATTGGACAGACAAGACTCGGAAGCCAGAACGCTGAGAGCCGGAGTCGGAGCAACAGAGATCGAAACCGGAAGCTGGGAGCCAGAGTCAGAAAAATACAGCTGGAGTCGGGATTGTTGGGCCTGTAATCGGAACCAGGGCTGCGACGTTCGGGTTGGAACGACGCGGGCCGGAATCGCGGAAGTAAGAGCCCGTGTCAAAAAGGCGAGAAGATGGGAGCCGGAGCCGGAAGATAGGAAGCAGAGTCGGAGAACTGGGGACTGAAGTCGGAGAAGCGAGGACAGGAGGAGCTCGACCACAAGAAACCTTCCACAAGAAGCCGAACCCCGAGACCCCAGGGCGTCCACCGGTTCTTGGTGTGGAAGCGCCACGCTCCCCGTGGCAAAACCAGCGAAACCAGAGAAGCCCAGGGCACCCTGGACGCAAGCAGGGCGTCTGTTGGCCTGGGTCTCCGCGGCAGTCGCGTCGGCACTCGTGCGAGCTGGAGGCGGGCAATAGGAGCACCGAAGCGCGGGGCCGGCGCCGGAGTCGGAGGCGCGAGCATAGGTGCGGGAGGGGCGCCGGAGCTGCAAAAACAAAAAAAAAAAAAACAAAAAAAAAAACGCGGTGGGATCGCGGCGAAAGCCGAAGCGGAGCTGCAGACGCGGGAGCGCGAGCCGGCCAACAGGAGGACGAATAATTGCCTTCGTGGCGCTGGCCACCCCAAATCTTTGGCGTGGCTGCAGTGGTGTCCCGTGTCTGAGTATGCTCGAGGACGGCGTCGAAGAGGGAGGAGCTTCGTGGAGCCTGAAGAGATCCCCTTCAGAGGCCCCCAAGAACACGAAAATCCTGGAAAACCACATGGTCTGCATGAGATCGACCTTGTCGCCGCCGCGGTCTCCAACGGTCGTCTGAGGCCCCGACGTGGCCCCAAGAGGGCCCCAGAAGGGCCCAGGAGAGCCCCAAGATGAAGGGGCCCCAGGACACACAAATAAATACACACAAATAAAAATGTTCCCCAGATTTTCCAAAATTTTCCGGGTTTCCGTCTTCCCCCCCCTTCCCATATTTTCCAATATCTTCTGGGGAATCGACGATGAATTGCGTCTGTTTGTTTGTTTTCCTCCTGACAAGAGGGCCCCAGGATCCCTCAAGAGCGCCCCGAGAAGGCCCACGAGCGGGCCGACAGCGGGGGCCAATGAAGGGCAGGCCCCAGGATGGCCCCCACGACGGCCCCAAGAGGCCCCGACGTGGCCCCCACGTGGCCTTAGAGATGGCCCGAGAGAGTCCAGGACAGCCCCCAGGAAGCCCGCCCCCACGAGGCCCAGAGAAGTGAAGGGGCCCCAGGACACACAAATAAAAGCAATCCCCGTATTTTCCCATATGTTCTGGGTTTTTGTCTTCCCCCCCCATTTCCCATATTTTCCCATATTTTCTGGAGAATCGACGATTAATCGTGTCTGTGTGTTTCTTTCCCTCCTGAAGAAGTCACTGAGAGACCCCCAGGAGGCTCCCAGAAGCCTCCCAGAGGCCCCCGGGAGTCCTCCGAGATGCCACGAACAGCCCTCGACGCTTTCAACGATTGTTGCCTTCTCAAACCTTCGGGCTTCGGTGGTGAAACTTCGGTGGAGGCATTTTCCGTCGAGTAGCGCCCTCAGTCTGCCCAGCCGGAAAACGACCCCCACCCAACAAACTTCCAAATCATCACGAGCGCACAAGCAAATCCGCCGACCCTGTCGGAGTGTGGAAGACGCTCTTCCTTTCGTCGTCGTCGTCGTCGTCGTCGTCGTCGTCGCCGCCGCCGCCGCCGCCGTCGTCGCCATCGCCGTCGCCGTCGACGTCGCCGTCGCCGTCGCCGCCGTCGTCGCCGCCGCCGCCGCCGTCGCCGTCGCCGTTGCCGTGCAGTCGCCGTCGCCGTCGCCGTCGCCGCTCCCCCCCTTTCCTTGGGCCCTCCTCCTCAAGCGTGCCAGCCAAAGTGTGGTCCCAGATCAGAATACCATTCCCCCCCGGGGTCCGAACAAAACCCAGGACGGACACAGGGTGCCCCTGGAGGCCTCCAAGACGGTCCAAGAAGGCCGCGAATCGCCGAACTATCCGTCCCACACGCCACAGATGGCATCCAGGCGGTCGAAGACACCTCCCAGACGCTCCAAGAGCACTCCGAAAAGGGCCCAAGATGTAAAAAGTATAAATGTTCCTTTCTTTTTGCAAGATGTTGGTGTTCTCGCCGTCTCGGCTTCCCGACGCTAGGCCTCCACGATCGCCCCAAGATCGCCCCAAGATCGCCCCAGAAGTCTCCAAGAGGGCCCCGAATCGACCCAAGAGGGCCCCCAGACAGCCCAAGAGGCCTCCAAGATAGCCCAAGAGGCCCCCAAGACGGCTTCGAGAGCGTGCCCACACAGGAGGCTCGAAAGGAGCTTTGGAACATTCGGCCCCAGAGCCTCACAGGATGCCGCAAGAGGTCCCAAGAGGCCCCCCAAGAGGGCCCTACAGGCCCCCAGGAGGACCCCAGGAAGACCCAAGAGGCCCTCAGGAGGCTTCCAAGAGACCCCAAAGAGGCTCCGAAGACCCACGAGGCACCCCCCTCTACGTCCACCTGTTCCACCTCCCTGTCCTCCTCGCACACAGGGTCGGCGGCAAAGGCCGTAAGGCCTTCACAAAATCAATGATGGTGCAATTTTAGGCTGGCGGAATGCGCAAAGCAACTGAATAAGCTTGCCGACCCGCGCGTCCACTGGCAGTGAAGACAAATGCTTCCCCAGCGGTGTCAAGCTCTGGCGGCCATGCTCTCCACGCATGGCTCCCATATCCACAAGGTCGCTCACACTACGTTCAACAGCCGAAATTGCAGGCGGCTCGATGAGGCGCATACAAACTTGCTTCGTCGAGATACCACGTGATCCAGCACTTTTCCCAATTGTCGAAACAATGCGCAATATGAGTTGTTCAAGTGACACCCGCTGAACTTCCGTTTTCTGAAATTCATCTAATAGCTGCTCGTGCCGAAAACGTGTGAACAAATGCACAGCAACACCGGGAGCGATGCGACCTGCACGCCCGCGGCGCTGGCGAGCATTGGAACGGGTGACAAAGCAGTCCTCCAGGGATGATAAGCGCCTCGCAGAGTCATACTGCATTTCCTTCATACGACCACTATCGACAACAAAACCCACATCGTCAACAGTAATAGAAGTCTCAGCTACATTTGTGCAGCAGACAATCTTCCTGATACCTGCAGGTGCACGCTGAAAAACGCGCCTCTGCTGGTGTGGAGGGAGTGCCCCATGCAAAGGGAGCACCCAAGACCGCATTGGCTCCTGTGCAAACTGCGAGCAAGCTAGCAGGGCGTCCGTCAATTCCTGGATTTCACCGGCACCCGGAAGGAACACAAGGATGGCATCTGCTCCCGTATCCGACATGGGCCTCTGGCAAAGATGGCAGATGACCTGCACCAGAAGCTGGTAGTTGATCAGCTCGGGATCCAGCAACGCCAGCGCGGAGCGCACGTTGCTGCCATACTTCGCGTAGCGTGTCTGAAGGACTCCCGCCTCCGTCGGCTCGACTTTTGCATCCGGCAGCTCGCTCCTCTGAGCTCTGCTGTTCGACAGTCGACTGCCCCAGGCCCAGTCTGCTGCAGGATCCACCGTGTGACCCGTCATCTCTATCGCGTCCTCGAGGTAGAGTTCCTGGACTGGGTAGAGCCGACCGGACACCTTGACGACTGGGCAATCGCCTCCAAAGTAGCTCGCGAACAGCGCCGTATCCAACGTGGCACTCATGAGCACGACTCGGAACTCTGGCCTGCGAACACAAAGGTCTCTCAAGAGCAGTAACAAAAAATCTGTCTCCACGGCCCGCTCATGCACCTCGTCCACAACAACATGCGTAGCCCCTTTCAAGTCGATGTCCGATTCCAACCGCCGCAGCAGCACACCAGTCGTGACAAGCAGGAGACGGGTCGCTGCAGAAGCTCGTCGCTCCATGCGAACTGCATAGCCCACACTTTGGCCTACAAGCTCTCCACGTTCAGCTGCAATTCGTTCCGCGACTGAGGACGCTGCCAGTCGTCGTGGCTGTGCACAAATTACCTGCCACCGTGCCCCGAGGCACAAGTTGGAGTCTCCTCAGATCGGTCGAGTCCTCAGTCCTCAGTCCCGAATAATTGCGAATTGCAAGGCCCAGACCCCAAATTGAGGGAGTTCCTTGGGCGTGGCACATACCCCCGCGTGCTGGCGCGCTATACTTTTCTGCGGAATGCCAGAGGGCCCCAAAACGGGGCCTCACGACGGACCGCAAGGCCCCCAAGACTCCCCAAGAGAGCTCCAAGAGGCCCCCCAAGAAGACCCCGAGAGGCCAAAATCCGCCGATCCGGAGTGTGAGCTCGAAAGAGCCTTAGATGAAGCCTCAGCTTCAGTTCCTGAGCTTCTGCTCTGCTGGGGGGTGGGTGCCGGGGTGGCTCTGCCGGGGTAGCGGGGTGGGGGGGGGGGACGCGCTGTGCTCCGTTTTCCGGGGGGGGGTCGGGCCGTGGGAAACACAGCAGAGTGCCACCGCGGATGCCAGAGAGCCCAAAAAGGAAGAAACCCCCGAATCCTTCAGAAACCTACAGGAAATCAGTGGTTTGGGCCTCTTCGGGCGTTCCTGGAGGTCCACTTGGAGGCCTCTTGGGCCGTCTTGGAGGCCTCTTAGGGGCTGCTTAGGCCGTCTTGGGCCATCGTGAGGCAATCCCTCCCTCCACCTCCCTCCGCCTCATCCTCCACCTACTCCTCCACCTCCACCAACCAGATCACATCGGGAGCGCCGCCGGATCGGCGGCACTGGCCGGAGGCCACTACAACAACTGAAGGGTTCGAGCGTTCTCACATTTTCTGGTTGTCGACACTCTCTGAAGGCCTTCAACATCGCCCCAAGACGGCCCAAGAGGCGCCCAAGAGGGGCCCAAGAGGGCCCCCAGACGGCCCAAGAGAGCCAAAGGCCCCCAAGACGGCCCAAGAGGGCCCGAACGGGGACCCAAGAGAGGTCCCAGAGGGGGAACGCGAACCAGCATTTCGAATCCTCCGCCCCAAAATGGCCCCCGAGACCACCAGCAGAAGAGCCCCCCAGAAGCTCGAGGAGGCCCCCCAGGAGGCCCGAATCAAACCCCAGGCCACCGATAGGCCCCCGAGAAGCCCTCCCAACACCCCAAAACCGCCTCCAAGAGGCTTCCGAAAGGCCCGCAGGCATACAAGAGGCCTCTAAAACCAAGGCACGGTGGCGGGGTGGGCCGAAGGTTTTGTTGCTCAGGGATCCGAGGGCACCTGTAAACGCACAGCACTGCAGAAGCTATACAACGTAGCACGGCAGCTGCGGAGGGGAGGAGGGGAGGCAAGAGCAAGACGAAGCACATCAGGGACCTGCCAGCACAAAGCACGAACGCCAGGCGACGTGAATGCCATGTGTGTAGCGCGGTGTAAGAACCACCGCGCCGTTACGACAGATTTGGCCGCCCCCTCAGGGGTGCCCGGCGCGCTGGATTTCTTACGATTTGGTTTTGGCTCTTTTTCCACAAGAACTCTCCCTTGGGCTTCGGCCCGTCCCGCCGGCCACCCTGAATGCCACGCAATCGCGCACATAGCCCCAAAAAAATCCTCCAAGACGGGCCACGATAGCCTCCAAGATGGCCACGTTAGCCCAAGATGGCCTCCAAGATAGCCCAAAATGCCTCCAAGATGCCTCCAAGATGGCCCAAGAGGGCTCAAGATGCCCCCAAGTCCGCCCAAGAAGCCCCCGAAACGGTCCAAGAGGGCCCAAGAGGCCCCCAAGAGGCCTCCAAGACGGCCCAAGAGGCCTCCAAGACGGCCTCCAGGAAGGCCCGAAGAGGCCCTTGATTTTCCCTGGGTTGTTTCGAAGATTCGAGCATTTGCTTATTTTCGGCCTTCCGACGGCCCGAGACGGCCCAAGAGCCCCCAAAGATCGCCCCAAGATCGCCCAAGAGACCTCCCAGATGGCCCCCGAACGGCCCAAGAGGACCCCAAGGCCGCCCCAGGAGGGCCCCAAGACGGCCCAAGAGGCCTCCAAGACGCCCCAGATGGCCGCCAAGACGGCCCTGGAGCACCCCAAGAGAGCCCCCATCGGCCCAGAGAGGCCCCCAAGACGGCTTCCGACGGCGTCAGACGGGCCAGGAGCCCACCAAGACGGCCCAAGATGGCTCTAAGATGGCCCAAGACCGCCCAGGAGGCCCCCAAGCGGCCTCCAAGAGGGCCTCCAGGAAGGCCCGAAGATGTCAAAATCAGCAATTTCCCATTTGTTTATGAAGAATTTTGACAATTGCTTCGTGTCTGCCGTTCGACGGCCCGAGACGGCCCAAGAGCCCAGAAACATCGCCCAAGAGGCCTCCAGGATGGCCAGAAGACGGCCCCAAGAGGGCCCCCAGACGGCCCAGGAGGCCTCCAAGATACCCAGCATGGCTTCCAAGACGGCCCTGGAGCACCCTAAGAGAGCCCCCATCGGCCCAGAGAGGCCCCCAAGACGGCTTCCGACGGCGTCGGACGGGCCAGGAATGCCCTGAGACAACCGAAGAGGCCCCCGAGAAGCCCCCAACAGCCCCCAAGAGGCCCAAGGAAACCCCCAAGATGCCTGCAAGAGGCTCCCAGGAAGCTCCCTAGGAGGCCCCAAGAGTGCTTCAAGAGGCTCCCAAGATACCCCCTCCTCCTCCTCCTCCTCTTCATCCTCCTCCTCCTCCTTCTCCTCCTCCTCCTCATCCTCATCCTCCTCCTCTCCTCATCATTCTGCTCCTCCTCCTCCTCCTCCTCCTCCTCCTCCTCCTCCTCCTCCTGATCTTCCCCGCCATCCTCCCCCAAGTGTTCCCCGAAGGGTTTCCACAACAGCTGGGGGAACACATGGTCTGATAGCTTAGCAGAGCTCTTGCCACAACGCTCGGACGCATTGGCAATTTCAAACCTCTTGCTCCCCAACGCGCTCCCGGAAGGCTTTACAAACTGATTTGGAGAACAACTGGCCCGATAGCTTGGCCAAGCTCTAGCCCAGCTGTCGACCACATAGGCGCTTCCACAAGGGCAGGGGGCGGCGGTGATTCGCCGTAAGCACACAAGAGGCCCGCAAGAGGCCCCAGGAGGCCGCACCAAGAGGCCCCCAAGAGATCCCTCCGAGGCCCCCAAGAGGCTCCCAGGAAGCCCCTAGGAGGCCCCAAGAGGATCTCAAGAGCCCTCCTCCTCCTCCTCCTCCTCCTCCTCCTCCTCCTCCTCCTCCTCCTCCTCCTCCTCCTCCTCCTCCTCCTCCTCCTCCTCCTCCTCCTCCTCCTCCTCCTCCTCCCTCCTCCTCCTCCTCCTCCTCCTCCTCCTCCTCCTCCTCCTCCTCCTCCTCCTCCTCCTCCTCCTCCTCCCTTCCTCTCCCAAGCCAGATGTTCCCCCAAGAAGTTCCACAACGGCTGAAGGAACACGTAGTCCAGCAGCTTGGCCAGATGTCGGCCAAATGTGTTGGCCGCAATGGGCGTTTCCAAATGGCAGGGGCGGCGATGATTCGCCGCAGGCGCCTTCTCGATCCGCCGCCCCCCGTGACAAGCACGGGGGTGCACGGCGTGCCAGGCTTATAAAAGTTCCCGGTCCGTTGTAACGGTTCCCCATAGGGTCTCGGCCCATCGCGCCGGCCACGCAGAACAAATGTACTCCAATGGCCTTCCCGCCCCATCGGGACCCGCAAGCGTCCCAGGTCTTCGGTCTTCTCACTCCAGACGGCCCCAAGATGGCCTCCAAGACGGACACGATGGTCTCCAAGACGGCCACGATGGCCCCAAGAGAGCCTGAGGTGGCCCCAAGATGACTTCAAGACGGGCCAACAGATCCTCGAGATGGCCTAAGGTAGCCTCAAGATCGCCCACGACGGCCAAAGAGGGGCCTCCAGGCGAAGGGGGGGGGCGGGGCGGGGCGTGGCTCCGTGGGGGAGACTCCACCTGCCGGAAACAAGCGCCAAAGACAGCCAAGATCTGTTCCACAGGGGGGGGGGGACGGGAGGGGCGCGAGGGCCGGCGCCGATCAGCAAAACAATGAAGAAGAAAACGATCACAACCTTGACGCTCTTCTGGCTCGGTTTCAAGATGTTTCAGCACTTGCTCATGTTCGGCTTCCCCACTGCCCAAGACGACTCCAGCGGCCACCAAGATGGCCCGCGAGCGCCCAAGAGGTCTCCGAGATGGCCCCCTGACGGCCCAAGAGGCCCCCAAGACGGCCCCAAGAGGGCCCCAAGACGGCCCAGGCGACCTGCAAGACGCCGCCCAAGGTGGCCTCCAAGACGGCCCTGGAGCGCCCCCAGAGGGTCCCAAGTCGGCCCAGAGAGAGAGGCCCCCAAGACGGGTTCCGACGGCGTCAGACGGGCCAGGAACGCTCTCAGGCCGTCAAAGAGCCTCCCAAGGAGCCTCCAAAGTCCCCTAAGAGGCTCAAGGAAGCCCCCAAGTGACCTCCGAGAGACCCCCGGGAAGCTCCCAGGACGCCCCAAGAGTGCTCCAAGAGGCTCCCGAGAGGCATCATCATCCCTCCTCTGTTCTCCCTCTCCCCTCTTCTTTCTCCCCCACGAGTTCCCCGAAGGGGCTCCACAGTGGCTGGGAGAACACCTCGTCCGATGGCGTGGCCGAGCTCCGGCCACAGCGCTCGGCCACAGAGGCGCTGCCAAAGGGCAGGGGGGAGGCGGCGACTTGCCGCAGGCACCTTTGGCTGCTGCACGGAGACTGGGTGTCTGCGGCTGCCTCGAGCAGAAACTGTGGGATCTGTGTCGTCTTCCCGCTCCCCGTCTCGCCCTCCACGATGACGACCTGGTGGGCGGACACCGCTCGCAGGAACTCCTCGCGCTTGCCAGCAGCCGGGAGAGCCCGCCGCGCCGCCGCCAGCGGCCCGCCGTGCGGGGGGGCGCTCGGAATGCCTGCCGCTTCGAAGTGCCGAGAAGCCGTGCTGCCGACTGCTTGCTCAGGGGGGTCGACCACTGGTGCAGACTCACCAGGCCTGTCGGATCCAGGTGATGACGCCTGCAGCACAACGGACAAGGCCTCGTGGGCTGCAGCACTGACGATGAGAGTTTCGACCTTGCCCGTCGCAGGTTCACATGAATGCGCGTCAGGTTTTGCCACGGCTGCCTTTGCAGCTTCTGCCCCCTTCCGCCCAAGCGCCTCAAGCAAGCTGTCAGTAAGAATCGGGAAAGTACCCGAATCATTCCGCAACAGGCCTGCAAAGCCCTTATGGCCAGCCTTTTTTATGTGCGCCGATCCGCTCAAGTGCTGCACAAATGGGATCTCCCCACTGCAGTCCACACGGCATGCTGCGCAACGAAAAACGTTATGCATAAGTGCATGACGCACACTGCTGCATCTTGGGCCGCATCACGACTACTTCTGCAAATGCTGTTGATGAGTGCGTTGGTGACAGAAAGCATTCGTGTCATGGACCCGTACAGGACCAACCATGCGCACTCGGCACCCCTCCGTGGCGTGCGTTAGCAAAACGCCGCTCTGCGATTTGGCCCGAAACCATTCGTCTTGGATTCCTGGACTTCCCTGGCTCCCATTAGCAGAGAGACGCTCTGCGAATGCGTGCCGCAAGAGCACGGAAACCCATGATTCTCAGGTTCGCCAGGCGTCCATTGGCAAAGCGCGCCTCTGCTAATTCGCTTCAAGCCATGCGCCCTCGATTCCCAGACTTCCCTAGCGAGCATTAGCAGAGCGCCGCTATGCGAACTGGCCCGACACCATACGTCGCAGACTCCTGGACTTCCCGGGCTTCCGTTAGCAGAGCGGCGCTATGCCGATGCGCCCCACAAGAGCCCGGGAACCCCACAGATTCTCGGACCTCCCAGGCACCCGTCAGCAGAGCGCGCCCCGCTCCGCGCCGAACCTCCCGATGGCTGCGCCGCCGTCGCCCGCATCAGCAGAGCGCCACTTCGAGGTGCCCGAAACCGTACGTCCCCCCGTGCCCCCCTGGGCACAGAGTGGAGTGTCCTCAACTCCTCTCGGGATGCCCACATGAAAACATGAAAATGCGCCACTGGGCCGTGTGCACGTTGAGGCGTCGAAGAGCACTAAGGTCTGTCTGGTCGGGTTTCTGTAATTCTCTAGGGACCCTCCCTCTCGTCGTGCCTACCTGCGTGCACCGCCCCCTCTTCCCGAGGGTTCCTGGGATGCCTCACACCTCCTTGGCTCTCTCTCTCTCTCTCTCTCTCTCCAGCGCGTCCAAATTCCCAAAACAGCTACACGACGGCCGAAGATAAAATGGCCCAAGATAGCCTCAGGACCGCAGGGAACCTCCGGCAAGGCCAGAAGAAGGCGAAATCATTCCCGACCATCCTTTGGTGCTGGGCCCTCGTTTTGAAGCGACAGCGCCCCTCGTCTCCTCTCGTCATACCTCCTCCTCCTCCTCCTCCTCCCCATTCATCCTCCTATACTTGCCACTGCCCCTCCCGCACCAGTCACTGTTTCGGCACATCCCTCATGTCCGTGCCCCATAGGAGGCCCAAGCGAAGGCTCCAATGGCACGCTTCACATGCGGTTCCCCGCCAGTGTGGGCACACCCCTAACACGCTTGGTGCTCCCGTAGGTAGCTCCACCGAAAGCCCCAGTGGAAAAGTCAACATGCGGTTTCCCACCCCTTCGGCACACCCCTCACACGCTTCGTGGCCCCAAACGAGGGCTCCACCGAAGGCCGCAGTGGCAAAGTCAACATGCGGTTCCCCGCACATTTCGGCACACCGCTCACGCAATTCGTGATCCCACAGGGAGCTCCACCGAAGGTCGCTGTGGCAAAGTCCAAATGCGTCTCTCCACTTATTTCGGCACACCCTCTCACGCTCCGTGGCCTCATAGCGAACTCCACCGAAGGCCCCAGTGTAAAACTTGGCGCGCAGTGCCGTCCCCATGCCGGCACACCCCGCACAAATGTTGTGGTCCAACAGGGAACTCCACCCAAGGCCCCAGTGGCACAGATCGAATGCGGTTTCCCGTCCATTCTGGAACACCCCTCACACGCTTCGTGGCCCCATAGAGAGCTCCGCCCAAGGCGCCAGGGTCAGAGTCCACATGCGGTTCCCCGCCCATTTCGGCACACCCCTCACATGCTTCGCTGCCCCCATAGGGAGCTCCACAGAAGGCCCCAGTGGCAGAGTCCACATGCGGTCATGTGCTCATTTCGGCACACCCCATTAAACGTTTCGTGACCCCATGCGGGGCTCCACCGAAGGCCGCAGTGGCAGGTTCCAAATGCGGGTGCCCGCCCATGTGGGCACACTCCTCACACGCTTCGTGGCCCCTTAGGGAGCTCCACCGAAAGAAGGGCCCGCAACGCGGTACTCACCACTGCATATCGTCGGGTCCTTCGCCTGGATAATTGATTTTCCGTTGGTTGTTTAAAGATGGCATTCTCGCCTTTCCGAGCTTCCGTCGGCTCCAGAAGGCCCAAGAAGCCTCCAAGATGCCCCCAAGACTCCCCCGAGACGGCTCAGGAGACCCCCAAGAGAGCTCCGAGACGGCCCAGGAGGGCTCCAAGACGGCAAAGAGGCGCCCACGACTGCCCAAGAGGGACCCTGGACGGCCCCGAGAAGCCAAAGAGTGGGCACACGAACCAAGAATTCGAGGCTCCTGCCCCAAGAGTCACCCAGCAGCCCCCCTTGCCTTGTCGAGCTGTTACCGCCCAAAATAAAGCGCTCGCACGGTAACGAAATTACCGGAAGGCAGCCAGAATACTCCGCCCACAGCAAGCATGAAAAAACGCAGCATCGAAAGCCCACGAGGCCCAAGCAGACCCCAAAGATGATCCAAGAGGTTCCCCCCAAAAAAACGTCCACAAGGCGTTGCAGGCACTCTGGCGAGATGGGCCGAACCGCCGCCCCCCGTTGATTTGTCAAAGGGGTGCCCGGCGTGCTGAATTTCTGCAAGGTGTCGGTCCTCTCCACCGTTTGCCCGCCTGACCGCCTGCGGGAGGCGGGACTGGCTCCACCAGGGTCTCAGCGAAGTACGGAAGCCGGCCGCGGACTGGCGGCGTCCACGAAGGAGGAGGAGGAGGAGGCGGAGGAGGAGGAGGAGAAGGAGGAGGTGAGATGGAGAAGGCGGGATCAGGAGGGGGAGGTGGAGGGCGAGGGGCCGGGGCCAGGGGGCCGCTCCGCGGCCGCGGCCGCCGCGGCGGCGCCGGGGCCTCGCGCGAGCTGCTCGGCGCCCTCCCGGGCGGCTGGTAGCCACTCGCCTGCCCCCCACGCCGAAGTGAGACGAAGGCGGGGCGACGACGACGACGGCGACGACCTCGACGATGGCGACGACGACGACGACGACGACGACGACGACGACGACAGCGACAGCGACAGTGACAGCGACAGCGACAGCGACAGCGACAGCGACGACGCCCCGAGGGCCCCGACGACGGCGGCGGCGACGACTTTTAAGACGTGGACAGGATGAAGATCCGCCACCGTGCCCCCTGGCACGTTGGGGCGTGGAAGAATGCCAAGGGCTGTCTGGTAGCAGACTCTTGCGTGCATCCCCTCTACTCACCGAGGCATCATTATTCGTCCCCGCTCGAGGGTGGTGCACTTCCAGCATGGCAGCGAATGCCTGATCCACACTTCCAGGCCCGCATGGCAGCTAATGCCTGAGTGCCCCTTCCACGCGTGTCCGCTCGAGGATGGTACAGTTCCCGCATGGCAGCTTATGCCTGAACCCTCATTCCATGCGCGCCCGCTCGAGGATTGCACACTTCCCGCATGGCTGCTACCTCTTAGACCCCCATCCCACGCACACCCGCTCAAGGATCGTGCACTACGCTTGCTAAAATTGATGGATATGCGTTCCGAGTTTCCAAGACGGCCCGTGGGCAACCAAGGACATCAAGATGGTCCGAGATGCCTCGAAGGCGGCCCAAGATTGGCCCAAGGCGGCCGAATAGTCCTTCAAAACGGCCGAGGATGCCTCCCAAGAGAGCCCAAAAGGGCCACTAGAGGACTTCCAACGGGACCGAAGAAGCCAAAATCCGTCATTTCCATCAGGTTGGGGAATTTCTGCATCATCGCCTTTTCGGGCTGCCGTCAGCTCAAGACGCCCCGAGAGGACTCCACGATGGCCCAAGAGGCATCCGACACGGCCCCGAGACTGCCCAAGAGGGCCCCCCGTGGGACCCAAGGGACCCAAAACGGCATCAGAAGACCCTTCGACGGCCCAAGACGGCGCGAAGACGGCCGCACGACGGCCCCCAGACATCCACAATACGGCTAAGAGGGCCCCGAGACGGCCCAAGAGAACCCCAAGCGTGCATAAGGGGGCCCCAAGACGGCCCCACGGAACCCACTAAGACTGCCCCACAGGAGGCCAAGACAGCCCCAAGACGGCCCAAACGAGTTCCACCGCCATCATCATCCTCCTCCTCCTCCTCCTTCTCCTCCTCCTCCTCCTCCTCCTCCTCCTCCTCCTCCTCCTCCTCCTCCTCCTCCTCATCATCATCATCATCATCATCATCATCATCATCATCATCATCATCATCATCATCATCATCATCATCATCATCATCATCATCACCATCACCATCACCATCATCACCATCATCATCACCATCACCATCACCATCGCCATCGCAGCAGCAGCATCATCGTCATCCTCATAAGCAACAGCATCATCAACAGCATCATCATCACCATCAGCATCACCATCACCATCACCATCATCATCATCAGCAGCATCATCATCAGCATCATCACAATCACCATCACCATCACCATCATCATCAGCATCCTCATCATCATCAGCGTCAGCATCAGCATCAGCATCATCATCATCAGCATCACAATCATCAGCATCAGCATCAGCATCAGCATAGCATCAGCATCAGCATCAGCATCAGCATCAGCATCAGCATCAGCATCAGCATCAGCATCATCATCATCATCATCATCATCATCATCATCATCATCATCATCATCACCATCATCATCATGATTGACGGCCAGCCGTGCCCCCTCGACCGGTCGCCACCCAGCATGCTGGGCTGGCACGGTGGCGGGAGCCATCTCGGTGGGCCCTCCCTGCAGCGCGGCGGTGGGCGAGAACGGCTGCGACCTCTGCGCAGCGGCCCCGTCGGCGCAGCTTAAGACTTGTCTGTCCGGAGCCCTGTCGCAGTATGATCTTCGCAGCGGCTTCGCCCTCGCCCAGAGGGGGGGGCCGAGGCACTTGACTGCCTGGGGACATGCCGCGGGCAGCTCGGCAAAGTTTGGACCCCTGCGCGCCGCCAGATCTGCAGGATGTACCGAGCGCCCTGTCCCTCCCCACAAACGCCCTCAACGATGGCCCTAAGAGGCCCTCCAGGGCTCCCAAGAGGCCCCCCGACAGGGAGTCCCACGGGGCCCCCCTAAAAATACCGAGTGCTGAAACTCCCAGGAGGATGGCGGCTCCTGCCAGTGTGCGCCAGCAACTCATGGCCCTGGCGCGTGCCCAGCTCGACGCAGCATTCGGCGACTCTAAGACCCCCAACAAGATCCCCAGGAGGGCTTTCAGGAGTCGATCTTGAGGACTCTGTTCTCGTCCTCGTCCTCGTCCTCGTCCTCCTCCTCCTCCTCCTCCTCCTCCTCCTCGTCCTCGTCATTGCCCTCATCGTTTTCCTTTTCCTTTTCCTCATCTTCCTCGTCGTGGTCGTCGTGGTATTCTTCCTTATCGCCCTCCTTCTTCTTGTTTTCCTCCTCATCCTCCTCCTCCTCCTCCTCCTCCTCCTCCTCCTCCTCCTCCTTATCCTTCTTCCCTCGCCCCCACGCGGGCCCCAGGGATGGCTCGAAGAGGCCCTCTAAGGCCACCCCCTTGCTCCAGAGATCTCTCTGTTCACCCTGGTTGCCCGCTTTGTTTCTCTACATGTGCAAATCTCGTGGCAACCTCCGCGCTCATCAGATACTGACGACTCCTTCTACTACTCATGACTCGGTTTGCCAACTTCATTGACCAATATTGCTAGCAGTGGGATGTGGTCCACGTGTGCCACCAGTGGCCACTGAAGAAAAACGAGTTCTGATGAAGCGCGATTATCTTCTGGCGTCTTCGAACCATCGTAGAGTCCTACTCGGCGGTGAAGAATCGGGCGTTGGTAGAACTGGGCTTAGTGGAAATTGGTTTAGTGATCTGTACCAGGGGCGCCACCCCGTCCCATGTCCACTAACCGGAACTGCCGTCACCCGAAAAAACACCAGCTATGGCAAACCTGGTTCAGTGATTCTGGCCAATTCGAAGGCTCTGGGGCCCTACCACTGACCGGGTCAGTCGAAAACAAGCTGGTAAGCTTAGGTATACAGTCCGCCTTAGGCGCTTCCATATCCCAGGCTTAGGCTCATAGCGCATGAGCAAGAGAGCGAGACGAAGCATGGGATCTGGAGTATAGAGTAGGATGGGCATCGTCAATGGAAAAGGATGTTTTCCGATCTCAGATGCAAGTAGTGCGCCTCAGTGAGGCACAGTCACATATCAGGCCGGGCCCGGCTTGAGCCAGGCACGGCAGCGGTACATGCTCGATTTATACCTCGCCTTTAACCTTCTCCGTTTAAAGTCGGAGGGGGAGGAGACGAGCAGGTACCGCACTTCTATTATGCGGAAAAACAGTGCTAAGCAGCAGCGGCTGCCTACAAGGAAAGGGCGCGCGAGTAGCCTCGCTACCGGCGAGTTTCCTCGCTGCTAAAGCGCACCTGCCCGCGGGTTTCCCCGCTGGCTCGGGAGGCAGGGCCGTCCTGAGACGACCTGCCCGCCCTATACGGCGTATGTTTCTTCAGCTCGTGCTTGAAGGATTGCTGGCCGGCCATTACTTGTAGGAGCAACGCGCGGTCAATGCTACCTTTGGTATGACCATCGGCAGTCATATCCCGCGTGTCACACCATTGGACGCTTTCCACGATTCCACGTTCCATCATCTGGCGAATCCAGCTGATGTGCCCAAGCAGAGTACACTCTGTGGGCTTCTTCAGATCCTTGCTAGACAAAGATTTGAAGACAGACTCGGCATCAATAGTCAGAGTGACTTTGATACATAGACCACCCATTTCCAATATGTTCTTCAACTGTGTGGGGGTCAATGGTCCCGAGTGTAGCTCGTGGAGCGTTACAATGGTCGGGTAGCAGTCTTCCAAGTTGTGGGCTGCTGCCAGTGTTTCCGCAGAGTAGCTCGAACGCACTTGCAGTCGATGAGACTTGCAGTATGCGTCCACCAGGTGCACGACGGGTTTCCCCGCTTGCGTGTGGCCACGCCTCAGCAGGTTAGCCCCGCGGATACCATAGCCTTTGACTTCGTCGTCTTCATCTCCGTTGAGACGACGATAGCCAGAATCGCTATGCAGGTCGACTTCTCCTGTTGGAGTCATAGCATGATACACGATCTTCTTCGGACCTGCCTGCAATTTTCTGGTAACCGCGTTTAGTCGTCGTACCTGGATGTTTGTCGGTTCTTGGATACGTTGTAGTGAGACAACATAGACCATTAGCCATACCTGCGTGATCAACGCATAGGCTAGAGCGCCACGAAGACTAACGAACATATCAGAAATTGTCTTCGTCGCCTTGCTTTCAGGATCAGCTCCTGTGAGTTCTGGATGTGTGATAGGACGAAGCTGTTTGATGTATTCGTCCTGATCGAGAGTGACGCTCCCATCATCGGTCTTGTTGTACCGAACAGCACAGTTCGTGTATGTGTGCTTGTTCAGTTTGCACTTCCCAAACGTATCTTCAACACACTTGACATACTTGTCGATAGCCTCTTCCTTCCCAGTCATATTGATGTCATCAACGTGCTTGGCTGTCAAGAGGTTTGGGCTCATCTCGAATTCTTCGTCGTATGAAGTAGGCTGTAGCCCAAAGCTCCTAGTGATGGACCTGAGCTTCAGCGAGAATGCCCTGGGAGCATCCTTCGTGCCTGTCCCCGGTTTCAGACACCGGAGACAATGCTTTGATTCGTCATATGACTCAAAGCCTGGCAGTGTGCGAAGGACAGCTGCTGACCCAGGTGGTAGTGTGAAACACACCACACGTTCTTTCTCGCCCGTTGCCGCGGCGAGCTCGCCATAGGTCAGTCCCTTCAAGAAAGCCATGTTGATGTCCAGGGAAGCGATGATCCAAGCTTTGTTGCATGCAGCAGAACTTGCGAGCAGTCTCTGGCTTGACCTCCTTGCCGTGCCAGAGAAGGTTTCGACATCAAAGGCTTCGAGGTCCATGAAGCCACGGAGTACCAAGCGT